AATTATCTTATCGCTAACAGCATTACTAGCAACAAAGAAATTTAAAGCGCAGCAAAGCTACTTATTTGCCGAAAGTAGTATTGGCAGAATTATGTGTTAATTGATTGCAAAATGCTACAACACCCCAACTCCGCGCCTGAAATTCTACTAATTATGCTAATAAAATTTATCGAAATGCAGTTTCAGCGGTTACTACTCACACACCTTGAGGCACAATGTCTGCTTGGATTGTACATCATTATAGACGATAATGTTCCCTTTCATACCGAAGCTCTCGCGTACTCCCAGATGGTAGGACAGTGATCGCTGTTGCACCAGTATACTTAAATCAATTATCGCCACATCTGCATTGTAGAATGTTTCTAGCATGTTCGTTTCACCGAAATCGAGTTTGTCGAACTATAAAATGAAAGGTAAAATATGAAAAATTGGCATTCCTTAAATTCTTATAGTTTAATTATCCACCTGCACACGCTGAAAATTAGCACCGACCGATTGTATGGCCTGCTTCATTTCTTCCAAAGCGCACTTGCGATCCTCAAGATATTCGGTAATTTGTGTATCAATTACAACAGCTACATCCATTTTGCTAAATAATTCACTTTTCAATTGGGAATTTGTAATAACTTTATGGTCGCCTACGCAAAAATGTGTGCCTCGCCCTTCTACAACTCCCTTTTGTCTTACCCAGTACTTTTGCTACCTCTTCACCTTGAAGATATGAACAGCAAGCGCACTTCTTTCCGAGCTTTTCGTGGTTGCTGAAACAACTTCGCAGAACACGCCTAGCTAAAAAAAAAAAATGCAGCAACCGCAGTTGAAGTGTAGCAGGTAGCAGCCTCCTACTCTGCCTCCTTTAACAACAATAGTAATGGTGGCACTGCGCCATTGGAATTCGCGTGCTCTTTCAATTGGCGTTAGGGTTATAAATCATTTGCACTCTACTTGTTGTTTTACGCAAGCTTTTGTTACTTTTCTCTACTGTTAAATCGCAAGTAGCCACTTCACTAATATCTGGCTATATATTCCACTTTTTCACAGGCAATCGACAATTGGACAAATTGACGGACACACACAAGAGAAAAAATAACGCTGTTGATCTCAAATTGGGATTTTTCTTGCTTCTAGCACGAATTTAAAATGTCAATTGGTTGTAGAGATTTCGGAAAAATATCGATGCATCGCAAGTATCGCAAATATTTTGTACTCGATGCATAAACAGTCGATAAATCGAGGCATCGATTTTTTTTTTTCAAAACTGACATCTGTAGTACATTGAACCTTCGTTCCAGTTTTTTTAATAGTACAAAAAACAGAAGTGACTTTGACACAAAAATTGAAATGACTTCAAAAAGTTCGGTTAGAAAACTAATTCGCTCAGTTGCAATAATTTATTTCTAACTTGGTACAATTGTGAAAAATCCTATGCAATCGATGTACAATTCGATGCATCGAATCAAAGAAAACATCGATGTATTTTTGCCACTGACATCCCTAATTGGTTGTGTTCAGAGCGCATCCATTTAAGAGTTTATCGATAAATGAAATTAAAACTAAACGATTTGTGGGTAGAAAATAGCATTTTAAAGGCTCAAATTTAACGCAAACTGAAATGTTTAAGATATTGGCGGCCGCTGTTGTGTAGTCGTAAACGGTGCGCGCTTCCATTCCTCAGACCCTCGCTTCACGTCCTGGTCAAAGTAACATCGCAAAAAAAAAGTTAAGAAAACGATTTTTTCTTAACAGCTGCCTTCTCGGCAGGAAATGGCAAATCCCGAGTGTATTTCTGACATGGAAAACAGCTTCTCATAAAAATGCAATCGCCGTTCGGAGGCGGCGTAAAACTGTAGGCCCCTCCCTTTTTTGTGACAACGTCAAGGCGCACGCCACAAATAGGAGGAGAAGTTCGGCCAAATACTAACGTATGTGTAAGCGCCGTTCAATTATTTGTATTATTGTAGAAATTAAGTCGAGCATTGCGTTCCACAACTTTAAAATTCTCGTTAATACAAGTTTAAGTATGGCAGCACAAACGGTTTTAACAGAGTTGCCAAAACCAATATTGTCGTCGGATCCAAATTGACAAGATTATAAAAGTGCAAGATAATTAATTAAAGACGACCAGACTTTTGCAGCATCCAATTAGATAAATTATTGGTAGGGAACGGATTTTATGGGAATTGCCTTTTTTTCTGCTAAAGAGACAGTGTATATTCGATTAAGAATGTTCACGATATAGTTATAGAAAACTTCAAATGCATCTTGTGATTCAATGTTAATACAACTATAGAGATAAACGTCTTGCTGCCTATTTCGCTATTTTATTTAGGTCTTAAAAATCCGTTCCCTGATTATTGACGTTGTAAGTGTACGAACGGAAGGCTGGGAAGGTTAAATTTTAATTTTTACACATTTTTCGATCCAAGTTATAAATCCCAATTTTTATTACACTTTCTGGAAGATTAGAAAGTAATGTATATATGTATAAATCTAAAGAATGATTTCTTTTAACTCCTTTAGTTCAATATGTTTTTTTATTTGTTTCGTTTATATTGCATTTTTACTTCAAAATAACCAGTAGCCAAGGGATCCCAAATATTTCGTACCTCTACCAAGTATTGGTAGCTCTGTTTATGCTTCGAGTGCCACGGTTGCCACTTGTTAAAAATATAACCAACCTGAATAAAAAGAACCACATTTGCTAGCCACTTATCTATTACAAAAAAAAAAATTAACAATTTTGTTGAGTTTGAGGCCGTTTTTTTTTAATGAAGATTTTTTGGAAAAACAACATATTTTTATTTTATTTGAGTTTGAAAAATTCATTTATTCACTTTTGGCATTCAGTATGCAATAACACTTTTTGTAAAGAAAAAATTTGCTAATTTCTTATAAAGAAAAAAACACCAAACCAGAGAAAAAAACTACCAAACAACCAACAGTGGCAACCGTGTCGAGCGCATTCGCGTTCCACTCGTACTCAAAAAACGCCATTCGGAAAAAATGAGCAACGACCAAGTCAGTGTTGCCGTTACGTGGCTAAAGGGAAAATTTGATAAATTTTAAGCGCACATATCCATTGACCCGACATTTAGAAAATTTGGATTTTTTGACCCTTTTTCAAAATTATGTGTGACTTTTGCGTCTTTTCAGATATTTTTAGGAAATGTTAAGAGAATCTTAAGTTCGAAAAATGCATCACTTAAAACTTTTACAGGAAATGCAATTCTTCTCCTTGCAGCAACTAGATTTACGTGTATTTTTGCAACCCTTTTTTGTGCAAAGCTATTTTCTTTTTAAATTCCACATATTAATTCTTTTACTGGTAAAGAAAAGCAAAAATAACATGGATACCTTATTTTTCGTCAATGACCTCTTTTATGAGACTTCCTGAAAATTCTCACCGGCAACACTGGACCAAGTTGAGTGAATTCAATAGGAAAACAGAAACACAGAAGCGGATAGAGAAGCGTCGTAGCACAACCGATGGAAAACGCAGCGGAAACGGCAAATAGTTCGAAGTAGTGAAAAGTAGTGCAGTAGAAAATTTGCAAATTTCATTGAAAGTTAAATTAAAAAGTGTGAAAACGGTTAAAAACTCGAGGAAAAGTGCGATAGTAAATCGAGAAAAGATGCAAAGTATTATCTAATGGCCGAGTTCGTGAAATATTGTGGATTATAAGTGTGTACTGTATGTGAAAGTGAGGAATATCTACTAGTGTTCTACTGTTGTATTAACAAAAAAAAAGGTCAAAAGGAAGCAGTAGCAGCAACATTAAAAACCAAATATAAAACGCTAAAATGGGTTTGAACGGCTGCTGTTCGTGTGTAAAATACTTGATGGTGCTTATAAACATCCTATTTTGGGTATGTACAATGTGGAGGCAATTGTAGGACGAGTGGGTGGTATAAAAATATATATCAATATACATACATACATACATACACATATAAATATGTACATATGAATGTATCCTTATTGGGCGGTGGGTGTTCAGTCGGTTTATGAACATCCTATTAGTTGAATATGTAACGAAATCTCTGGGTGTACTATGTGTCGGATTCGGGTGATGCTCTCTGAAATATTCGTAAATCGCTAAACAGAGATTCATAGCGGAGATAAGTGTGCGGCATAACCTATATAAGGAATATAATTAAAAATATGTATGTATTTTGATACATATGTACATATGTACACAGATGAAATGCATTCAAGAAATCTACTATCGAAGCACAAATCGCTAAAAATCCTATTGTCCTTTTTCGATGATTGTACTAAATTTATGTACATACATACATAAATATACATATGTATGTATGCGCATTAGGGTGACCCAAAAAAAATCGGAATTTGAATGCTCTACCCCCTAGGACTGTTCTATACCGAAAAAAATTATACCCCTGTTTTTTTATTTTGAAATCAAAAAATATGTAGAGGTCGCTCAAAGCGCTCAAAATTGTCCATGCATTTTATATAGGAGAAAAAAACAAGTTTTTGTAGAAATGGTATGGAATTCTTGAAAACCATTAGGGCTGTTCAGGATGTTGTAGAAATGGTATTGAATTTGCAATTGGAATTGCATTTGCAAATTTTTTGTTTGCTGCCATGACAACCGTGTGCATTTTACTGTTGTGCAATGCAATGAATACTCAAATCCAAGAGCATATGCACAAGGTCCTGAACAGCCCTAATATTTTTCGATCGGAAAACTTCGTTCCTCTTCGGATGGGTCCCCTAATGCATTTTTTTTGAGGTTTTTAGGGGTCCTATAAAAACAGTTAATACCTAATAGGAAATGGTTAAATAAACAATTGGGTATTGTTATTGGAAGTCTGCTGAAGAGAAGCGAAGTTTCCCGATCGAAAAATATTGATTTTCAAGAATTCTCCACCATTTCTACGAAAACTTGTTTTTTACCCCATATAAGTAAAATACATAGAAAACTTTGAGCGCTTTGAGCGACCTATTTCAATATAAAAAAAAAGAGGTGTAAGGTTTCCTAGGGTGGGATCCTAGGGGGTGAGAGCATTAAAATTCCGACTTTATTTTCTCACATGTATGTATTTTTGGACCCCCCTAACGTGCATACATATTTATTTACGTGCATATTTACAAGCGCAGCACATACATATTTATGTATGTATGTACATATTAGTATAGTTTCGTTCGCAAATTTGTCGGTTTTTTGGTGGGATTTGTGTGACAGAAGCGATTACTGCCGGAAATAGTTGTCTACTTTTATGTAGGATTATGAATAGCTACCGTCAAATATATATATTATTTGTATGTACATATAAATAACTTGTAATGTATATACATATGTACATAAGTGACACTAAATACTTGCTATATCCAAGTATCTCTTCGCAAGAAATTGTCTAGTAGTTAACAAAATTGGCCTCTCTGGTACCCTGTAAATATGTACATACATATGTATATGTAGTATGTATATACATAATTTTGTATTTATGTACGTTTGTGTATATGTACACATGTAAGTATGTACAGGCACAAATTTATTGCTGGCGCTATATTTTCCCACCTTTCTTTGGTATTTAAACGCCCTAGGCTGGAGTTGACTACAACCTAACGAGTAAGCGATGCAGCCGATGCACGTAACATCAAAACATACATATTTATGTTTGTATGGACATGTTACCTACGCACATGTGTGTATAAACTGACAGCACACAATGCAGTAAGACCGCACAAAGTGTCATTGCTTCCGCTGCATCGTTGCATGGCTATGCGTGTAAATATGTACATCAATACATACATATGCATAAACATAACTTCTTGAATTAATAAAAACATTTATACATATGTAAGGACAGACGTAAATACGTAATACATAGTGCATACCTATGCAACCGCCAAAATAAGGTAAGCGACATTTTTTCAAAATTTTCTTTTTAATACAAAAATACATCTACATAAATGCTCTGAGGAATATTTCTGCATCAAAAAGAAAATTTTGAAAAAAATGTCGCTTACGTTATTTTGGCGGTTAGGGCTCGATATATTAAAATGTACAAACTACAACCGTATGTATGTATGTGAGTATGTACATACATACATACATATGTAGGGTCATAACTTCGTACGCAACGTTGCATGGTTGACTTTTTTTGTTTTTATTAGTAAACCGATGGATACTGGTTTCTTGATAGTAGGTACGTTGAATGGGCGAGTTACATGCTCCCCGCGCTGGAGCCGAAGTTGTCGTTGCCATTGCTGTTGTTGACATATCGGTCGCAACACTGTTGCCAACTTGGTGCTTTTCTATATTCAAAACGCGAAAATTTTTGAGTTTGGTGCTTGGTGCGTTTTTTGGTGCTTTTTTTTTAGTTTGAAGACACCAAATCTGTAAATCTTAAAAAAATCGAAGATAAATTAATAGAAATCGCAAAAATTTTAGCAACTTTACGAAAAGGGAAACAAATCATGGCACAATGACAATCGTAAGCGAGCATATGTTTGCCAACAAATTTTTGATACAAAAATATTTTCCCACTATGCGCTCAAATAAGACACATTCAGATAGGTTCTGCAATTCACTTCCGAGTGAATTTCAATAAAATGCGCTTTGAATTAAAATTGGCCGGGGTTGAAAATCACTCGGAAGTGAATTGAGGACCTACCTGCTAGATTGAAAAGGGTAATCCAATGTCGTTATGTTTCAGGTGTCAAGCAGTCGGAAAGAAATGCTCTTTATATTCCTTCATCTCACGAGACAATAAGAGACTGCAGTGTAGATTTAAACTAACACATACTTCATGAAACTTAATTTTTTGTTTTTGCTTTCGTTTGACAGGAATTGTAGAAAAAATTATGCGAAATGAAGAAAAAAATTCACATACATAACTATAAACAGTCAGGAAAAAATTTATAAATTTTTCTTGAATCTTAAAAAAAAAATAGAAAATAAGAACAATAATGTTATCGTCGCTTGGAGGAAAATATTTGAATTTATAGAAAACAGAAAAAATTCGACCGTCAAGCGAGAAACATTGATTTTTATTAATTTAAATCAGCATTCCTACAAACAAGTTTTTATGCATACAAAGTCCATTAAATACTCCGATACAAATTTGGTGCCTTTTTTCGAGAAAAAACGCGATTTTTCTTAGGTTTTAGTGCATTTTCAAATTCAAAACTTGGCAACACTGGGTCGCAATGAGCGTCTGTCTAGGCTTTGTTTTCTCGTTTTTTTTTTTTAGTATTATGAGAACTACGGTCCTACATTTTTTTTTTATTATTGCAGTTATTGCCTTTATAAAAAATTTCTTATCTTGGGCACAAAAAATCTTTCCATGTACATAAATAAATATGTACCCGTCGTGCAATCTTCCTCAAGTCAAAGAGCTGATTGCTGCCTCTCTCTAGGCTTGTCTGTCAGTCATCATAACCAAACAATCAAATAGTCAAGTCAAGGCAGTGCAGAATACAAGGAAACCGCCATTTAATTGAACTACAAGAATAAATAGAAATGGAAAGTCAAGAGGAAGGAAATAAAAAAGGCTGTAGCGAATAGTGGTGTGTGTGCTAGTTTTGGGCGCCCACTGTCATCTATTGTTGTTGTAAATGCTGTGCTGTTCCGTTCAATGAACGGTGGGTATGTTCAGTACAAGCATTTGGGGTGCGTATGAAAATGCGAATAATTAAATGGAATAATTCTGGATGAGATCAGAAGATGTTTAATTTGCGTAAAATCACTGATAGCAAAGTTTTTCTGAAATTCAATTTAAAATATTAAACGGCAAATCAGAAATCTCTCCGAAAATGCATTGTTTCAACTTGGTAGTTGCTTGCATAACAAATTAGCAACTGAACTGTGATTTCTAATGAACGGCCGATTAAAGCCATTCACAACAAATAAAATTTCAGGAGTCACTACAAGCTCAAAAAGGAAAGGACCATCTTGACCAAGGGTAATCAATAGCGATATAAATGTTACTTGCAATTGGTACAGGAAAGAGGGATTATCCATAAATCCCAGTAAAACTACAATCCTCCTTTTCACCCTAAAAGGCAAGCTATGCTTTCCAGATCTAAATATAAGGGGAAATGCGATTCACTTTAAAGAAGATGTCAAATATCTATGCAAAGAATACTCACTTGGGAGTCACAACTCAGCTCAATTACCAACAAAGCAATGAAGTCCTTGTTAACCACTAAACAACTCCTAAGTAAAACATGGTCCGCTAAGGGCAGGACACTCGCAGAGCTAGGTTAAAGACGTGCGATACCAGCAGGAAATGCGCCAACCAGTAGCTTAGCGTCCTCCCTCTTGAGGGATAGGAGAAACTTCGTCAGCTTTATGTAATACGCTCTCAAAGGCAACTGCCATTTATAAAAATTGGTTAGAATAGGTACTTCTGCGCCCGTTAAGTCAATACATCCAATTGACAAAACGTGCATAAAATATAGGGATTTTAAGGTCAATGGCCACAAATCAGCTGATTACTATTCGGTACCACGAACATGTGGCTAAAATTGGCCCCCGTACAATCCTCCGTACCGTAGCTCCAAAATCGCGGATCTTTACCTGGACAAATTTAGCTATTGACAAATTCAAGTGCTTTGAAGTTAACACCAAAAGTTTCGAAAGAAGTCATTTGAAAATGACACTTTTAGCGTTAGCTGGGATCTGGGCGTGAGGACGGGTAACTCTAATACCAACCAATCAATAAAAGCACAGCGTGTGAGACTAACTATTTAAAAGCAAACAGCCACATCAATAACAATGAGAAGTAGTTTTTAAACAAACAACAAAACCGACTTCAGTGCTTTTAAAAAAAATTCAGGAATATCGTTAATTGCATCATGATCCAATGATCGGATCCAAACCGAATTAAGTAATAAT